AAATGATTCATGTTAATAAAAATATGAAATATATTAAATAATTGATCAATTTTAGTCTTGTTGTTGTTATATACTTTTTACGGTAAAAACCTTTTATAGCCGGAAGCTATCCAAATAATGTTGTTCGCGTTCCAGAATTAATAAACGTCCTTCTTTTTTAGATATATTCAAGATATTAATATATTCTAGAATAGATAAACTAAATCCAGAATGTTTATGAATGATTAAAGCTCCCTCCCCCCTCCCTCCGGCCATTAATAATTTAATAACTATTCATTCGTTTTAATAAATTTACAGCAGAACCTACATAAATTTTACCAATTTTTTTTATAAATCCATAAATATATCCCACTTTTACTTTTTTATATACATAGAATTTTTCATTTCTCAGTTTCAGCGTTATCATAAATCATAACAGGAACTGATAAATAAAAATGTAATCAGAAGATGAAAGATCATAAAATAATTAAATATTCTTAACAATTATTAAAAAGTAAATTGGTAAATTAAAATTCTTAAGAAAGAAAGGAAATTTGATGCTTAAATTGTTCTGTTCATACTATAACAAATATTAATTCTATATTTTCAGTCTAATTCATTTTAATAAACTTTATATCAAAAATGTCCTATATATAAAAGATACTTTTAATTAAACTTTACTTATAACTATATTAACTAATGAATATAAAAATTTTACAAAGAATCAACTCTTCTTTTTTCTCGTATAAAAAAATTAAAATTTAAAAAGAAAAAATATTCTATTTTTATGTAATAGTAAATTTTCACATTACTTAACTATATATTGATTAAAGATTTTTTATCTTTACTTAGACAAACTCATCATAAGTTAATTAACATCTTTATATCAAAAACATATTAAAGGTCCGAACAGGATAAAACACGAAGCTTTTTTATTATGTATATATTAAATATAAATTTCTTTAAATTTAAAAATTAATAAGAATAAAAATTATGTATGAATATTTGTCTTATTGCAGGACGAGGAAGACTTGAACCTCCATTTGTCGGTTTGGAGTCGACTGCTTTAACCAATTAAACTATCATCCTATTATATTACTACATAATAGAAAACAGCTTTTCAAATTTTTTATATTAAAAATAAGTAAATTATTGAGTAAAATGACTCAGTTATTAAGTAAACTACTTAGTTATTAAGTAAACTACTCAGATACTTGAGTAAACTATTCAATTTTTGAGTAAAATAACTGAAATGAATTAAAAAAGTATAGGTGAGTAAAATTAGTCAAAGTATGAGTAAATTTAGTTAAAGTAAATGTATTTGGGGGGGTGTTAAAATAGTATAATTATATTGAATAGCCCATTTTCTATTCCTTAAAAGTTTCTCCCCTTTTAAAGGGGGAAAAAATCTAAGTTAACTTGGTTGCCTAAAATTTAAGGTTGAAGATAAAACCCATTTCTTTTGAAAAATTTTTCCATTTTTGAGATATATAGAAATATTTTTTACGCTACATTTAAAATGTTTAGCCGCTTCTGTACAAGTAATAAAAGAATTAGATAGTATATATTCATTTGTCTCTGATTCAAATGAATAAACAAATTCATTTTTACTAGCAGGATTATTGATACCTATCCTATTTATACTTTTTTGTGATTTACTCAATTTTGCTCTTGTTTCTGCTGAGACTCTTTTACCTTTATTGGCTTCACTTATTTTTGCAATTGTTTCTGAAGAATGAGTTCTACCAAATCTAGGATGAATCTTACCTGTTTTACCAAACATATGATGATTTTCACCAGTTTTTTTAGCTAGAGATTGATCAGTATGTTTGTAACCTAAAGAGGAGCCAGCTACCTTAAGTATATTATAAGTATTAAGTTCATCTTCCGAAAACATTTCATCAAGGTAAAACTGTTCTCGCTTAAGAATCAAATTTTTAGCATCTTCTTTAGATAAACCAAAAATATCTAAATATTCCAAAATTGTAAGAGTAAATGCAGAATAATCGTGAACAAGTAAAGCATTGTAAATATACATAGTTTTATTACGTTCTAGATAGCCTTTTTTAAAATAATTATTTAATCGTTTAGAAAAATTAACAGCACTACCTATATATCTTTTACCTGATTCCTTGTGAGTCCACATATAAATAGCAGTTTTACCTTCATTATCTGATAAAATTGTTGATTTGTCTGTATCTACATTAGAATAAATCATAATGGGAACAAAGACTGATAATAATATTTCAGATTCGAGGGAATTTAAAATTTCCGGAAATCTTCCGAAGGCAGATTCTTCTAGGAAAGAAAGCCCGAGCACCCTAGATATAAGAATTTGAAAAAATAAAGTTAGTTGAATAAACCCTCCTCTTTACTTTCAAAACAATGATCCCTGCCAAAGTATATCTTAATAGTAAAAATTCTAAAACTTTAATGTATAAGGAGAATAATAATATAAAAACTTAATTCTTAATATGCGAACTTCACAAATTATATAATAAAGACATTATTGTGGGTTAGTGTAATGGTTAACACACAAGGCTCATAACCTTGTATTGATAGTTCAATTCTGTCATCCGCACTTTTATTATTATAAATGTATTATATATTTTTATAAAACTCCCCGGAGGGGGTATATCCTTCGCCAGCAGTTTAAAATATTTTAATTTAAAACATTAATATAAGAAAGGGAGGCAGCCCTGCTAAACATTTAGAGCTTCCCCCCGGGTATCCGGGGGATGTATTGTTTTATTTATAAAACAAAACTTCGAGGCTGCCCCGCCCGCGGGCGGGGCGGCCCCCCCCCCCTTCGGGGGGGGAGGCTATATTAATAATAATATGGCCCGGGTTATAACCCAGGCTGCCCCGCGGTTTTTAAATTTTATTTAAAAACTCCTGGGCAAAGCTTTTAGGGGGTATATATTTTATAGGTTCTAGGATATCGAGATGAAGTTGTTCTCGTCCCAGAATTAATTTTCTTGTTTTATCCTTAAATTATTGAGAAATTTCCATATTTTCATAAATTGTAAGAGAGAATATTAAATACCCATGAGCAAGTAAAGCATTATATATTTTCATGTTTTTTATTACAACTTATAAAACTTTTATTGAAATAATCTCTTAAACGTAAAGATAAATCTACTGCTGAACCTATATTAATTTTACCAGTGGAGTTATAAGTCCATTGATAAATCCCGGCTTTACTTTTATTATACGACAAGATTCGTAACTTGTCTTCATCTGCATTATAATAAATCATTATAGGTACAAAAACTAATAAAGATATATCATCTGCAAAGTATAATGAAGTTGAACCTAATAACTCCTTTAATAATGTAATTACAACAAACAATAAAATTAAATAAAAATTTTTTTATCTGATAATTTAACCCCGCTGTTAAATTTGGAGACCTTTGGGGAGGAGGGTGTTAGATTTTTTATCTAACGTTATAATGATGGGACCTATCATTGCTAATAATAATATGAATGAACAAAGTACTAAATACAATGAGTATGATGAATACATAATTGCACCTACTGCTTGTATTTGTTCATAATTAACAAAGATGTTGTTATAAATAGTATTAAATCCTGCATTAATATAATTACTTGAAGGAGTAATACCTAATGTTAAGAAGTTTAATTTATCGAATAAAGCTGTCATTAAATAAACGTTATCTAATGAAGATGTAATAGAGTTTGATAATATTAAATAACTTAAAGCAGATGAAACTATAATAGCTAAAGGGATATTTTTATTATATTCAGAACCTGTCTCAGATAACTCAACTAACCTTATATTCAACATCATTATAACAAATAAAAATAAGATAGCAATTGCACCAATGTATACCATAATATATGCTAATGCTATAAAGTTAATTCCCAATAAAATTAAATAACCTGCTAAATTTATAAATACTGCAATTAGGAATAATACTGAAATAATGGGACTTTTAGCTGTAATAACAAATATAGCTGATAATACAGAAGTGAATGTTAATAAATCTAATAAAATATTATTCATTTTAAATTTTATTTAGATCTCCCCTTAAAGGGTAATGGTGAAAGGATTATTAAGCCAATAACCAAAAAATATATAAATCCTAGCCTTAAATAATTATTCTTTATCTTTTACTTCCAGTATATTGGCTTTGCTAATAAAGATTTCATTAAGCCTCCAGCCCTCCCCCCGAAGGGGGGGGGGGCCGCCCCGCGGGGCAGCCCTCCGGGTTTATAAAGATAAACCCGGGGGGCCCGCCTTTTTAATTTATAATGTTTTTAAATTCTACTTAAAAACTCCGGCGGAGCCTCCCCCCCCCCCCTCGAAGGGGGGGGGGGGGGGCCGCCCCGCCCGCGGGGCGGAGCCTCCGGTGTTTTTTTAAGACCGGGGACCATATTATTATTAATATAGCCTCCCCCCGAAGGGGGGGGGGGGCCGCCCCGTCCGCGGGGCAGACTGGGTAATTATTAAATAATAACCCGGGCCGCCTCGCCCGCGAGGCAGCCTCCGGGCCCTTGGCCCGGGGGCCGCCCGCGGGGCAGCCTCCCCTTTTATATAATTTTATAAAAATGTAACTTCTTATTCTTTCAAAAAAAAACTTTAACTTATTCACTATTAAATAGGATATTTTATTTATAAAATTTAGTAATTAACTAATTTATAAATATAAAAACATATAATTTATTAAAGTAAAAACCCCTAAAGGAGGGTGGTTTTTTCTCAAACAAACAAAATAGTCAAAGGTTTTGTAAAAAAAAAAAGAATCCAAACCTCAGGAAAGGGGGGGAGTCGTCCCAAAAGGGAAAAGTTATATTATTTTATTATATAGGTCTTATAGATTTTTATCGGTATGATTACTATAAAATAAAATAATCAATATTAATAAATTAACTTTAGATTTTTAAAACTTGAAGGTTTATTGAATATATAAATCCATTTTTAGTTAATTGTATATCAATACCCGGGATAAATCTTTATTATGATAAGAATTATTTAATAAATATAGTTATATATTAAATGAGAACGCAGAGGCTCGAACTCTGGTTAATAAATTAAAAGTTTACTACTTTATCCTGTTAAGTTACATTCCCTAAAGAAAGAAAATAAAGTTATAATCTAAAGAAAGTTTAATAAATTAAATTAGAAATATGTATAACTAAATTTAACTAAATACTTGGACTATTTAAGTATCACTTAATCCTTATTATTTTTATATATTTTAATATTCCTTAATTATTACTAAAAAAAAAAAAATGATGGTAAAGATATTTCGGTATTAAAATAACTCTGGAGATTCCTCAATAGGGGAAGGGTGTTTATAAGGAAGGGTAATTAATAACCATTATAATTGAAAACGTCAAAACTTAACAGTAGGTAAAATTGTTATAAATATATTTATAACATATTTAAGTGTCTGCCCCGCGGGCGGGGCGGCCCCCCCCCCCCCTTCGGGGGGAGTCTGCCTTTTTAAAAAAGGCGGCCCGGGTTATTATTTAATAATAACCCAGTCTGCCCTGGCGGGCCGACTGGGCATACGGGGTGTAGCCCGGTCTCGTATATAAAAATAAATTTAAAAATTTATTATTTCTAACGAATATAGTTACCAACACCGAAGGATGATATGTTAATTTGGTTTATAAGTTAGTAAATTCAAATCTGACCAACCCTTTTTTATTAAAAGGCCCCTTTTGATAAAAACAATATAAATGGGTAAGGCGGTATTTGGTTTACGCGAGTATTTTAGGCATACTGGATTTTTAATCTTGTGAGTTCAAGTCTCACTACCCATAATTATTAAAATAAGTAAAACTAAATTTGAATAATTATAATAAGACTAATATCCTTAAAACATACATTAATTAATAATTCAAAAAAAAAAAATAAAAGTTGAAAATAATAAACTTTATAAAGAAGTTCAAATTTAACACCCCGTAGGGAAGTTCTTAATTTGTTCTAAAAGGTTAACTTAAATTATAGCTAATTAAAGGGGGGACATCGTATATCTGGTAATATATTAGTTTTGCGATACGGTTCCTTTTTTGTACTAAAGTCTTTATAGAATTTTTTATTTTCATATAAGCAATATATATTAAGACAATAAAGCAAGCTAACATAAAACTCTGCTCATAATGGAGCTTATACAAGCTCAAGTCTTATTACTATAAAGTGTATCAAACAAATAAGTATACCATCAAAACATTATATTAATGTTCTAGTCGACGGGTAATTTAATATCATTCTGGGAACAAGTATTAAAAAATACAAAAAAATATGAATAATACAAATAACAATGTATCTTTTACACCAGTAATAATTTATAATAATGCAGATACTGAAAAATCTAGAATTTTATCGGATAACAAAGGTAAAGCTGGAATTTACATGTGGACTCATATAGAAACAAAAACAATTTATATTGGTTCCGCTATTGATTTATCTAAACGATTATCTTATTATTTTTTCGTTTCATGGTTAACCCTAAAAGATTACTATATATGCAGAGCACTACTTCATCACACTCATTCTGCCTTTTCTTTATCGATTTTAAAATATATAGATATTTCGAATTTAGGTAAAAAAGAAGCACGTTTATTGGTTCTACAATCAGAGCAGTTTTATTAGGATCTTATCTTTTCGGTAAATGAACCTAATACTTATAATATACTTAAGGTGGCTGGTTCTCCGCTAGGTTACAAACATACTGAAGAAGTTTTAGCAAAATTTAGTGGGGAAAATCATCATTTGTTTGGGAAATCTCATTTACCTGAAACTATTGTTAAAATTAGTAACACTCTGACAGGTAAAACTCATTCCACTGAGACTAAAGCCTTAATAGGTAAAGTCCATAAAGGTAAAATAATTTCAGCTTCCCCCGGGTATCCGGGGGATGCATCGCCCCTTTTTAATTAATAATGTTTTTAAATTTTATTTAAAAACTTTTTAATTAATAATGTTTTTAAATTTTATTTAAAAACTCCGGGGCGAAGCTGAGACAAAAGCTTTAATGCCTTTAGCAAAAAATAAAAAAAATATTTGTTTATACTTTAGATTCCGTTTTAAATAAAAGAATTCTGTATAAATTTTTTAATTCTTGTACAGATGCTGCTAAATATTTCAATTGTACCACACGTACTTTATCTAGATATTTAGATAAAAATAATTAATATAAAAAACAATGGATAATATCATCATCCTTAATTAAGAAAAAATAATAGCAGGGTTAATATGCTATTATAATTATATAAAAATTTGTTTAGAAAGAGCTCTATCTAAACACCTTTTCCTCTCCTCGGGATCAAGGAGGCCTTCAGATTGCCGCGATATAGTTAAAATGAATCTTATAATATGTCTATTAAAAGATAGACACTTATATTATAAATTTCAACTTATATTCGGGGCCCCGCGTGCCTCGCGCGCGGGGATTATAAGAAGTTTAAGAAAAAAAATAAACCCGGCTTCTTTCATTAAATATTAATAATATAATAAAGGGGACATCGTATATCTAGGTAATATATTGGTTTTGCATACCAAAGAGAAAAGTTCGAGTCTTTTTGTCTCCATTTATGAAACCCAGGGTAGGTAAGAAGTTTAAACTTATAAACCATTAATTGATTTAGTTAAAGGTTTATACCATTTTTTAGATAAGATAAAAAAAATAAAATCATTAAAATAAAAAAAGTAGGATGGATAATTTCTTAGATTACACTTATCTTTAAATCGCTAAATTCTTTGATTAATTCCAATTAATTGATTTATTATACACAAAAATGCAAACTTCTAGAGTTGAACTAGACTTAATTATTATTTAGTATCAACAATTCTTAAATTACCAAATGATAAGTTAAGAAATAAAAACAAAATCCACTGCGACCAGAGTTTACTAATAAAAAGAGTTAGACTAATATAAATTAATCAAGAAGAATCATATGAGTTGAACCTATTCACCCCTCAAGGTGGCAGGGTAAAGCTGGGTTTTTCTCGCTTTCCTTATTTTAACATTATAGTCTACGAATAGAAACGAATTTCTATTATTATTATTTAACGATAATAGTTACTTATATTAACTTTTATTTACGGAACCAGGGGGGTTAAGAGTAGAGATGTTTATAAATTATTTGTTAAAATTTTATAAAAAAAAATTTTTTTTTCAAATTTATATTGCCAGATGTCTGATTCGAACAAACGTCTCGATGATTACAAATCATGTATTTTACCAGTTAAATTAATCTGACTCTATAATTAATAAATATTTTAGGCCCCCCCTAGAATGGCTGGATAGGGGTGGGTGAAATGCTCAGTATATTTATCTTCTAGGTGATGTTTACTGATTATATATGTTATTAACAATCTTATTATAAGTATTTATTAAACCGTTTCTAAGATTTTAATTTATATTAATAGCATATTTTAGCCTTACTATTAATAGCGTATTTTAACCCTACTGTAAATAATATGTGTACCTAAATCGTATAAACCTCCTGTAACAAAAAGAGCTGTCCCCTTGGTTGGGTCGCAGTTTTAAATTTAAACATTTAAAACATTTATATTTCCTTAATTCTTTTTTTGTGCTTTAATTATATTAAAAATTTTAATTTTATTTGTTGCTATAAAATTTCGAAAATAAAAAAATTTTTTAGATCTTTGTATTTCATGAAATCTGAGTTTTCTTATATTAGAATATTACTAAAATCCTCTTAATATATTACTAAGAGTAGGGTGTTAATATATAACTATATATAATTATATAGGATAGTTCCCTTCTATCCTTCAGTTCTTTCTAAAGATATATCCTTATAAGTCTATTGATTTAACTTATTACTACAATTAAGAATTAATTAAGCTTTGTTTTATTTAGAATAAATTAAGCTTCACCTCATGAGGCGAAGCCGTTATTATAATTTACTAAATTATTTTGTAATCCATCTAAAAATATCTCTTTTTTTTTAATTGTGGTAATCTAGTATTTGAGTTAAACTCTTCTTCAACATTATTAAATTCTTCTGGAAATAAGAATCCTATTGATTTTAAATATTCAATGCATTCTTTATCAGTATCTTAGTTATTGAATTTTTATTCTAAGTTATTTAAAGATTTTATATTTTTAAAATGTTCTTTAAGCTCTATATCCCATAGATTTTTTAATATCTCTTCAAATTTTTCTTGTTTAGCCATAATATTCATAATATTAGAGTTCAATATATTTTTATTCAATAAAAACCATTACTACCAAAAACATTTGGATCCAATTCATTATATCGATTATAATTTAGTTTTTGATAAAACAGCAATGTATTAAGCATAAATTCACTATTTTTGTTTAAATTTGTTTTTTCACCTTCAGTCGTATAATTTCTTAAAACATTCAAATTTCTTGTTTTAACAAATTTATAAAAACATCCACCAGGGAAACTCACACCTAGAATTGAAGATTTTATTTTTTTACTTCACCCTTCTTTTGATTTAAACCAGAATAACTAAAAATTATAAGAGAAGTAAAAATATTAATATCTATATTATTATATATAATTTCAGATAAAAAAATAATTCCTTCATCAATATTTAAAATATTTAAATAAATTACATATATCCAAATCCAGATAAGATATTTAGATATTAGTTTGATAAATTTAAATATTCTGATAAGATTATGTCTGAACCAATCTACTCTATTGACCGACCACGAATTTAGTTTTAATAAAAAAACATCACCATATATTAATATAATTAAATTAAAAGATAACAATAATAAACATATAACAATAATACTCAAACTCATATTTAAAGCAGATATTACTTGGATAATAGGATTTTCATTAAAAATAATTTCATTATTTTCTAACATATCTACAAAAAGATTAAAATATTTATTTATACCAGGTTTTTCAATTATAAAATATATAAAACTAGTAACAGATGATGATTTAATATCATAACCCTCTGTTAAATAATTAACACTTGATGATTTAATATCATTAGAATTAATAAATAATTTAACATTATTTATCATTTCGCTAGATTCTTTTATATCATCTGATTTTATAGATCTATTATCAGAATTAATAATATTATCGTAATCTACACCTTCAGAATA